ATGGCCACTAGACATAGTCTTATCCAAAATAAGCAGCATGGTAATGAAATAAGATTCTGCAATGAACGGCTGCAATAAAAATCTCTGAATAATCAAAGAATTTCTAAATTATTTCACCTCTCTGGTCTTGATTGCTTCATCTGTAAAAGAAAAGAGTTTCATACATAATCACTAAGGTCCTTTCCAGCCCCCAAACTTCCTTGGACAGTTAGTTTTAAGGTAGATACCAACAGGTACCTTTTTAAAGCCATAAAGATTGGTTGACGCGTGAAAGGTTAATAAGAAAAATAGAGCAAATTGGTCTGCCTCAAACCCTGGGTTCCTCCCTAAGAGGCACTATGGCCGGCCGAGGAAAATGGAAGTCTGACAGGCACCAAACCTCAGCCCAGGCCTGTGAGACATTTCCAATCACGTCTGTCAATTTGGTTCTCACTTTGCTTTCATTATAATGCCTGGCTGAAATTCCTACTCACTCCCATGTTTCTCCAGCTGATTTTTTCTTTTCTTTTCTTTTTCTTGAATCAGATTTAACTTTCTAGAGGTTAAAAATTGTAAAGCAAAAAAATGATACGAAATAGAGAGTAAGAGGGAGCTATACTCACAGAACTGTGGAATCGAAAGGAACGTTTTAATGTGAAAGTCTCCAAAAGAGGCTGAACTACCGACTCCTCAGAGGGTTGACTGGTTTGAGCCACATATATTAGCACTTGCCTCCTCTGGCTGATCTGTGTGGTGGTTGCTATGTGGATGGTGATAAAATATCCATTTGGGTGGGGTCAAAAATTATATTACACTCTCAGAGCACATCTGCGAATCCTGGCCTTTTGAACAAATGACCATGGTTCACTAGGCCTCTGTGCTGTCAGAAGCTGCCTCCCAAATGCCAATTTCGAACCTAACCCTACCATATGGAAACATGGGGTCAATGAAAAATGGTGTCTGAGGGGCCCCAAAGCATGAGAAGGTCTGGCAAAAAGTGACAGGTTTTATCCAGGATGCTGAAGAGAAATGTACTGAGACTAGAAAGACTAAGGAGGTGCACGCCTTCAGAACGTGTCTGTGGGTCAAAATACACCCTAACAGATTCTTGAGAGAGCCCCTGGTGGCCGTGTTAACCTTGGCATTGTTAACATTAAGAGGCTATGTTCATTTCTGGCACCTAACACTGGACACATTGACAGCAACAGGGTTGATGGAAGAGGAAAGAATCTGTTTTGCAGTTAAAAAAAAAAAAAGTTCTCATATTTCTCAAGCCATTTGAAATCACGCCAGAGAAATGCTTGATTTCAGCATTCTTAAGCTCTCTGCGATGATGCCGCAAGTGGTGTCCCCCACATGTGATGATGTATTTCAGAGCCAGAGTTTTCTCAAGATGTTCCAAGCCTGCAGGCTCCTGATCCTTTTTCAAATTACCAAGATGATAGTATCCCAGTGAGAGCTGTGATTAGTCTAAACTCTCCACAGCTGTGAGAGATGAATGTACAAATTCCAATAAAGATTCTGTGTGTTCTGAACTGAATTTACCTACATGACATCGAGGCCTTACTCAGGGACTACTTAAAGAAATAAAGCTGCCCCAGTGCTATTCCATTTCTTCCACAGTATCAGCTGCTTGGAGGCTTGCGACTGTTCCCGGAGGATGTCTCCCCTCCCACCAATGTCACTGCGCAGCAGTGGGTATGTATTTAGAAGGCCTGTGATGTGTGGGGAAGAAAGCAGGGCTGGGAAAATTAAACCTAAGTACATGGGAATTCAAAGAAGCCTTGCAATTCATTATGTGAATAGCCAGGAGGATTATAAAACACCTTGTAACTAAAGGGGTTGGCCTGGAGCTGTGTGGGACAACAGAACCAGCTGTATCGCCACCTGTAGTTCATTTATAATGGCGCTAGCAAGAATGCAGGCTCAGAGCATTCTTCACTTACTTGGAAAAACCAACAGGGCTCTGATTTCTTAATATAGACATCTTTTCCCTAAAATACTTCTTGAAATACTAAGTGAATGTAATAATACATAGCATGCCCCTTTGCTATGTTTAACAATTGTATCATCTGAAGGCACTTGCCTATTTACCTTTATGAAACACCTGACATTCAGCATGCTTTCCATGTCTAGGAAAGACTTAAGGGGACAAGGATTCACAACACTGTCTACACATATTAAAAATTATAGGCAGGGCACGGTGGCTCACTCCGGTAATCCTAGCACTCTGGAGGCCGAGGTGGGAGGATCGCTCAAGGTCAGGAGTTCGAGACCAGCCTGAGCAAGAGCGAGACCCCCGTCTCTACTAAAGATAGAAAGAAATTAGCTGGTACAACTAAAAATATATATATAGAAAAAATTAGCCGGGCATAGTGGCACATGCTGGTAGTCCCAGCTACCTGGGAGGCGGAGGCAGGAGGATCACTTGAGCCCAGGAGTTTGAGGTTGCTGTGAGCTAGGCTGACACCACGGCACTCTAGCCAGGGCAACAAAAAAAAGAAAAAAATAGAGAGATAAG